TTTACTGTGCTGATAAAGGACCATACTTCCTGTTTCACGGGCTTACAGGGGTTCTCAGCTTAAGCTTTAAGATCCCCTGGGAGGCCCCATTTCTTAGATTCAAATTTAATTAGTGAGGGTGGAGCATATAGTGAATAATGTATAAAATTTCCATATACAATTTGAGCACACAGTCAGAATTTTAAAAAAAAAAATAGTGGCCTAAAAGTTAACATTTAATTCAACTGCAAAATGCACAGAAGAGAAATTAAACCCCCTTCCGAGCCATGGCACTAACCTATGGCAGAAAAATAGTTTCCTTTTGACCCTATCAAACTTCCAAAGTATGTGACAACTGCTGCCTTTTCATGACATATAGGACTATCTGGAAGAAATGACTTTCCTTGATTAATTTTTACCTGTTTTCATTTTGGACAAGAAAAAGGAAGGAAGGAAGGAAGGGGAAGAGATGGGAAAGGTTGAGAAACACCACTTTAGGCAGGGCAAACCCAAAGCAAGTGGTCCTGAACACAGACTGGGAGTCGTGGTACCATTTCTGAACACTAAACACCATTCTGGGTGGGAAACCCAGAAGTCTTTTTTTAATTTCTTCTCAGTAAAGAATATTTTCTCCATGAAACATTTGGGTCCCAGGAGTATCTGGCCGTCTACCTGGTTATGTGTCTATGCTGCGTTTCCTCACAAAGTGACATTCTGGAGTGAAGACCGAGTCCAGCACCTGATGTAATTCCTGGTGCTGTCTCCTCTCTGTGGCTCTTGGCAGAGTCTTTCATTTACCTAAGCTCATTGGCATTTATCTAAGCTGCGTTTGCATACTGTTGCATGTACAGTAAACGTAAAATCTACCTTGTAGGTGTGTTAAGATGAAACATGAATTAGTTATACAGGATAAAATCAGGGTCTATAAGTATTCAACTAGGGATAGAAATGGTGATTATTAATAGCTGCCTACCTTCCTATTTACCTGGCATCACTTTCATGGTACAATATTTGTAAGCGTAACACAGCAAAAATTAAAAAATATGAATCAAACAGATCTTTTCCCACTAGACTTGACCAGCTCCATGGAACCTCTATAGAAGTCACCCTCCTGAGGTACTGGAACAGTAGAAAGTGATTTGGGGTTCCTTCTCACAGGGCTCCCAGGGACAAGAGACAATACCTTTAGTTTGAGGTATTTATGTGACATTTTTCCACCATGCTGAATACTAAGTGATCCTAGCAAGGGAAGAAGGTAACCCGCAAAAGAAAAGTTAATCTTAGACTTGATTACCCAAAATTGGCTCATATTTCTTCCTGGTGTTATGAAATTGAGTCAGAGTTACTTTAGCCAAAGGAAATACAGAACACACGTACACCACCACCACCACCACCACCAAAATTCATTTTAAAAAGCCAAGAAACAACAATACATGTATCCAAGGAAAAGGATGAACTAATTTTATATGACAGGAGAGTTATGTTATTTGTTATCTTAAAACCAAGTCACATCTGAAACCTTGATTTCCTACCCATACCTATCTGTTCAGCTTGGCTAATGCTATTGTTTCAAGTCTTGTCCTGGTAAATCATCATCATTATTTGGAAGCTAAGTTCCTTAAAGCACGCTAGCATGGAAAAGAAAACCAAAATAAATGATTTCTTCCAAGTTTGTTATTTCATAGAATCATTTTTTAAAATCCCTTCAGACGTATGTAAATGTAAAATTCTAGCAGGTGCAGGAAGGGCCTTGCCAACAATTTCCTGGAGCGTTCTCAGAATGAACTGAGCAATTTGCTCCATCACAGCGCACCAGGACAGCTGTGATTTGCTGCTGTGAGGTGGAGCGGCCAGCGCCGCCTGCTGGTGGCGACTGTCAACTGCAGTTTCAAGCCTGGATTGTGCGCTCAGCCAATTCCAGCTCCTCTGAGGTCCTAGGACAGTTTATTTGTAATTATTGAACTGTTAACCAGATGAGTGTCTAAAGACTAGGAACTCAGAAAGTCGAAACTAACAAGGAGTCCAAAAAAGAGGATCAGACAGTGTCCACTCCTGCCCAGCTCTTCCCCCTCCTCTTGCCTTGGGGCTGGCACCGCCCATTGTAGTCAGGCATCTCGCCATCTCCAAAGTGCCCAGGTTCTGCTGTCTTTGCGTGCGTGCCCACCCTCCTTCCTTCACAGCTGCTCAGCTTGACCATCACTCTCCACCTTTCTCAGCTTTCCGGGCTCTTTCTAGTTGAAGTCGAGGCACAGCATGTAAATGCAAACAGGTAGCAGCCCATCCCCCAGCTCCACCCCAATCAATCATGCTGCCGCATCACGGATTTCAGTGACGCCCACTGTGGAGCTAGCTGGCCGAGAAGTTCCTACCGTCCTCCTGTCCTCCTGTGCTGCACCCTGCTCTCTGGGCCTCAGGGTCTTGTTCCAGTGCTGTGCCCTCCACTAGCCTTCACTACTGCCCACTTTGACAGACGTCCTATAGAGGCTGCTCCAAATACTTTCCAGAAACTGCAAATGGTTTTTATGCAAATTGATGGTCTAAAGATGAGTGGAAAGAGGTTATGGAGGAGGAGCTGAGGGAAGGTTAATGAGCAGAAGGTAAGTTAGGAAATGGCCTGGAAGGAAAAGAAAAACAGACCTGGGGAAAAAGATCTGGTTCTTTGCTAAGCAGCGGGGCCAGAACCAGGGCTTGCCCTGTGTGACAGTGAAGGAGACTGCTGAGGGGCGGGCAGGGAATCAGGTCTTCTGAGCTAAGCCACTTGCAGTTCAGGGCAGAATCTGATTCCATGAGGCCTCACTGAAAAATCCCTACCTTCAAACTTTCACGGTCAGAGATCTAGAAATTGCACAGTGCAAGATCCAGAGAATGAAAAAGATGTGACTACACCGTAATGCTTTCATGAGCCTGCTTTTCTGTCAGGGAGCCTCTCCAGCAACATTCACTGAGGCTTCCACCGCACCTAGTAAAGACACTCACAAAAGAGAACTTCAGGACCTGTGTCAACACATGGCAAGAAAGATGACATAAGTCTATTCAAAGTGAGGGGAAATATTTAATGACAATGCGTCTTTTACTGTAGTAAATTTTAACATTCACTTGTATTGTGAAGTAATTCTAATTACAGTGATTTTTCTGATTAATGTAGATAGCTGGTGACTTTTCCTTCCTTTCTTTACCCTCCCTCGTGTCCTTCCTCACCCTTTTCCCCTCCCCACTTCCTCATCTTTTAACATAATTTAGTAAAGTCTTCCTTCAAAACCTGATTTTGGGGCCATGTCATATGTTCTGTTAACCACGTGTAGTAGTTTCTTCTCATCTGTTTTTGTTTTGTTTACATCTTTGGTTGTTTTCTGCTGTTGTGCTTTGTGGTGACTCTTCCTGACCATCCTGGAGGGGCCAAGTACAGAGAATCCAGAAGGCCATTTCCAAGGGCTGCTGATTAATCTGGCAGAGAGGATGCTGTTGACCAAAGTCAACTTTTTCTTGACTGATTAGCTTGTTCGTATTAGCATGTCACTTTCTCCAGCTCTATTGATTAGGCTGCTCCAACAGAGTATCCTTGTTATGGTTTGTGCCTGGATGTCCCCCCAAAGCCTCATGCAGCCGTGGAGAGGGCTGAGTCTAGCACTTGTGATTGGTTCATTGCCTCGCACTGGGATTGGTGGTGTGTGAGTGCTGCGCCCCGCCCCCAGGGTGGGTAGCTTGCATACTGTTTAGGGTAGGGGAGGAGGTGTGGTTTTCCCCTTCTTGCCTTTTTTGCCCTTTTCACTCTAGTTACTTGTGGTTGCCATGAATGGCTGCCCTTTAGCAACACCACCCTGCCTTGGAGCCAGCTGAGTAACCTCCAAAAAACTGTAAGCTAAATAAAATCTTTCCTTCCTTCATTTTGGGTGTCAGGTATTTTGTCTCAACAATGAGAGAAGAGTAACTGAGACAATCCTACACTGGATGGCTTAATCAGGCCTTTTTTTTCCTCATAGTTTTAGGGTAAGATAAGGTATGAGTAGATTCAGCATCTGGTGAGGACTCATTCTGATTGACAAAAACAATCTTCTCAGTCAGGCGTGGTGACACATGCCTATAATCCCAGCACTTGGAGCCTGAGGCAGACAGATCGAGTTTGAGGCTGGCCTGACTGACTATATGGTGAGACCCTGTCTCAAAAAAAAATAACCAAGGAGGAAGAAGGAAAGAAGAGAGAGAGAGAGAGAGAGAGAGAGAGACAGTGACAGAGACAGAGACAGAGACAGAGAGAGGAAAGCATCTTATCTGCTATGTCCTCGCCTGGTGGGAGGACCAGGCAGCTCTCTGGAGCATGAATCTCACCACCCTGATCTAATCATCTTTCAACAGCTTCACATCCTGTTACGTTGCATTGAGGATCTTATTTGAACATAAGAATTTGGGAACAGATGCATTCCCAGACCATAGCATGTGTTTTCTCAACATGAAAGTTTAATAGGGTTTTTAAAGGATTTGCCAAATCTTAGTAAAATGTTTAGACACTTTAAAAAGAATAAAAAAGAGAATTGCTATGATTGGACTTTTTTCTGGGGTAGGGACAATTTATTTTAGAAAGGAGTACTCTACAGTGGAGATGTTTTTAAAAAAATCAAAACTTAAAACAAGATACAGAATTTCAAAACAAAATAATAAGAGATTAACACTGATTAATATAGTGTATTGTTATCTTCAAAGTAGTTGTTCATATAAGATGTAGGTATGAAAAATGTTCAAACAATGGAAGCATAAACTGTTCTTTTCGAACTAACAGATTAGTAGCATAGTTCTCTATCATATATATAACATGTATATAGATTATATCCATCCAGACTTTTGCCTTCTTTCTTTTCTCCTTTCTGCTCTCCCCGTTGGTTCTTTCCTTTATGATCAGAATAAGATGAAGAACTCCGGCTTTCAGGAACACAACATTGCTTGGTTGGTCAGGTCGTTTCGGTTTTCCTTCATGGAGCCCTTGTACAGCCCACACGAATCCAGCCAGAGTCTGTCTCTGATTTCAGATTGCAGAGGGCATGGCCTACATAGAGCGGAAGAACTACATTCACCGCGACCTGCGAGCGGCTAACGTCCTGGTCTCGGAGTCACTCATGTGCAAGATTGCAGATTTTGGCCTCGCTAGAGTAATCGAAGACAACGAATACACAGCACGGGAAGGTGTGTTCTAGTCCTTGTAACCATTTCCAAGCACTCTGCTATCACCTCAGTTCATTTCATTCTTGTATGTTTTTAATAAAGCAATTACACTTTTCAGTACTGGGTTTGAACTCAGGGTCTCATCCTGGAGGGTATCTGTGGCCTATTCATTTTTTGAGACAAGGTTTCACTAAGTCTCCAGGTGGCCTGGCCTCAAACTTACAGTCCTCCTGCCTTATCCCCTTAAATAACTGCCACTGCAAGCATGCCCCCTGCACTCTGTGAGGGCATTTTAAAAAGTTATTCGGTACAATATTCAAAATGTACCGCAAATGTCTGTTAATGGTTCTTTTATAGCAATTTTTTAAAAAGTACTTTTTTGATGAATGCCAGGTGATTCTTTTATAGCTTCATAAATACCATTACTTGTATTTAAGTTAAGCAAAGAAAAACAAAAATAGATTTGACAAGCTCAAGATTCTTTACTTGCATTACATAGAGTTTTTCACTCAAATGATGAAATGTGTGCAGTTTCCTTAACTGTAAAGTATTTGCATGCTATGCTCTGTGCTGTATATTCTGCACAGTCTCCTACACAGAGACTTAAACACAATGTCACAAAAATACATACCTTTATTTGCCCACATTCCATACTGTACACGTGAACAAAAGTGTGCAGAGTGCTGAGGACAGTGGCACACTCCTGTAATCCCCGGGTCCTGGGAGACTGAGAAAGGAGAATCCTGTGGGCCCAGCCTAGGCCACTAGGTGAATTAAAGAGACCTCGTCTCAAAACAAGAAGTTAAAAAAGATCTGGGGCTCAGTTCACTGTGAGGGCTTTCGGGACAGCGTGGCACAGTGCAGAAGGCGCGTGCTCCAGGTCACACAGTGTGCCACGCCCTGGCTTCCCTCAGCCCCTCCATCACAATGCCTGCCTTTCGCTGGTGTTGTGCTGTGCCACACATGGTCCGACCTACTTGACCCCACTGCAGCTTGGAGAGGGTCACATGTTTCTCCACTGGACAGTTAAAAGCACTGAAAAGGCCCAAAGACAGGAGACATTTGCCAGGATCACACCAAGAAGGAAATGGCAGAGCCAAGATTCAGACCTAGGCCCAGAGTACCCAGTCTCCCAGCCCCGGCACTGTCCACCCTGCATCCCCTGGCCGTGGGGTGGGGGACTGGTGCAGCAATGTGTGACAGTCCCCAGCACACAACAGAGACTCCACCAGCTCTCTGGGTTACTATTACTCCAATTTTGGTCAGACACAACAAAAAATTCTCAAGCAACAACATAATAAACGTAGTCTTTTAAGTGGTGGGTAGAAAGCCCAAGCCTTTTAGGGTGCCATTGTGATAGTCTGTCCCTGAGCCCCTGCGTTCCTCAAGAGGGCTCCCCACATTATGCCAGGTCAACAAGGCTGGCCTGGGAGTCTTTCAAGCTCGCTGGCCACTCCTGGAACATTATTTCACCAATGTCCCATTCAAGGATGTTCATTCTCCTCAGTCTTAAAACTTTAGCATGCTTTGTCCTAGCAGATGAAAACGTGGGAAATTATCCTTTGGAGTAGCATTGACATTCCTGTTGGTACAGCTTAGAGATGTGTATCCACAAAGGCATTCACATTACAAAAACATTCCTAACCCAGCCGAGGGTGTAGCACAGAAGGAAGTGTATGCTTAGCCTGTGTGAAGCCCTAGGTTCAATCCCCAACATCAGTCAGTCAATGAGGGATAAAAGGCATTTATGTCCCATGTCAATATACAATGGGTTCATTAGAGCAAAATTGGGCATGTTTTTCTTTTGACGTGGGGTCTCCCTATGTTGCCCAAGTTAGCCTTAAACCTCTAGGCTCAAGTGATCCTCCTGCCTCAGCATCCGAAATAACTTGAACCACAGAGTGCACCATGCCTGGTTCTAAAGAAAATCTGAACGCTGAAGAGCTATGCTTTAGAGGCTGGTGCTGGGGGACAAACATATACACCAAGAATAATGAATTCCTTTATATTCCATACCATGTGCTTTCATGTTTAAAGTTGCCTGGTTAGAATACTTCCTGCCCTGGGATGGAGATTACACAAGAAACTTTGCTTCCAAAGAGGGCAGAAGGGAAGTAGAAGAAGGAAGGAAATATTTTAGTATAATATTTGTGCTGTCTCCATTTGGTCCTGTGTGTTATGCATTCAAAATGAAAAAATATTTTAAGTTATTTCAATCGAAGCAGCAAAGCATCCCACATTCATAAGAATTTTTGTTTCAGTTGAGAAGCCCAAGTAAGAATCACGCATCTTCTTCCTCAGGTGCCAAGTTCCCTATTAAGTGGACCGCTCCGGAAGCAATCAACTTCGGATGTTTCACCATCAAGTCCGACGTGTGGTCCTTTGGAATTCTCCTGTATGAAATTGTCACCTATGGGAAGATTCCCTATCCAGGTATTGCTTATGTTTCCACTCAGGCGATGTATGTGACATAAACATCAACTTGTAGAAGGCAATTTTAAAAAGCCTCCTCTCTCCAAAGTTAAAGAATGAACACTTCCTACCAGAACTTGATTTGCACTGCCCTCGGTGGAAATCCTGTTACAGTATGCTCAGCTACTTTGCCGCCACCTGTTTTATTGAGTGCACTCTTCTCCTTCCCTCATTCATTCCGCCACTTCTGGGCCTCAGGGCCGAGAGTGTGCTTGATCCTGCTGTGGGTGCCGAGATGAAGCTGGAGCAACACACAGGTGCTCCCCAAAGGGACGTCCCAGGGCACGAGGAAGGAGAGGCGGAAATCAGGGCTTCCGGTGCCTTCTGCTTAGTGTCGGACCAGAGGGTTTGGTGCAGGCGCTGTGGAATCTCTCCCTCCTCAGGAAATAACTGTCTTTGTTATCAGTGAATGATCTTCTGGTCTTGTCTTGCTGGTGTCAGTGGAGACCTTGGTCAGCAGCTTCAGCTTCCTAACATCCAAAGCCTCAGAACCCAACCCAGCATGTGCCAGCTCCTCCTGGGTGCATGCTGTCCTGGTTCAAAGAGGAATTCTTCCAAGTCCTGTGCTTTCTCATTACTATTTGATTTCTAAAAAAACTGTGTGTAAGATGAATTTACAATTCTATCTTTAATATTTAAATCACCACTTCATTGAATAACTGTCTCGCATGTCAGGTGCTCTTAAAGGACTAAAGACACACCAGCCTGTCCTTCCGCCCTTGGGAGCTAACGTTCTGTGGGCAGAGGCTGGTGGCTATCAAATAGATATCCAGTCTGCAGGTGCTGGGGCTGCCTGGAGAACATGTGAAGCAGTCAACAACTACCTGTGGAAGTAAGGGGGAGGGAGCCGCTGGCTTTATGGAGCGGTCCTGGATTTAGCCAGAACTCAAGGAGATAAAGGAGGGACACCTGTGGCTTTCTGGGTTGTCACATAGGGGATCGGCCACGTGATGAGGTGAGGCAACAGGACTGAGAGACCAGTGTGGTGAGGGCCTCAGTGAGTATTCGATGGATGAATGGATGACTTGTCTGGGTCATTTAATCTCAAGTTACAGCCCATGGAGGAGAAAGGGAGGGGACAGAGCAGTGATGGAAGCCATTGGCTTGGGTGTCATAGTGGCCCAAAGAGTTAAGGGCCACACGAGAGCTTCCCACCTCACTTAGCACAAGGTGGAGCCAGAGAGGCTTTCTGAGGGCACAGCGCTGTGACTGGTGTGCTCCTGCCATTCTCCCTGCTGTGTGGGGGTGGCCCAGTGAGGCTGGGGTGGGGGCCAACTGAGAGCAGAGGTCTCGGGTGGTGGCTGCACAGTGGGCCAATGGTCTCAGGAGATCTCTCACACTGGTGCTTCTTATCCTGACTGCTTCCTGTGCTGAGTGCTAAAGTTAATGGATTAACACTACTGCAAATAGGACAGCGCTTCGGATCACCTCTATCTGATATCCTGATATCTGATATCCTCTCTCTTGCTCGCTCTCTGTGCTGGGGATGGAACCCAGGGCCCCAGGCCTGCTGGATAAGCACCCTGCCACTGAGCTACCTCTCCAGCAGTGTCTCTGTATGTGCTTACATCTATGTTTGTATTTATCCCTCTGCAGGGAGAAAATTAGGATCTATTTAGATGATAGGTATAATCTGGTAATGGATAAAGACGCGACCTCACACAAAAAGGTCGTGTCCATGTGCGATGTGCTATGTGTCTGTTCCACCAAGGCTCCAGTGACTCAGGAGAGGTGGCTGGGCTTCTGGCTGGTGGCAGAAAAGCTTCTCACAGAGATTTGTATACCTCTTGTGTCTGTCTCTTATGTCTGTCCCTTACCCAGTCACAGTGCCCAGGATTTGGGGATATTTGGGGTGAAAAATCATTTGAATAATGAAAGAACCATTGGAAAATGATGAGTCATTTTTAAAAAGTGTGTAGTCAGACTCACCACAAACCATGGCTGGTTCTGTTCCCCAACTGGCTTTGTGCTTTTTAAAGGATGTGGGTGGGGAAGCCCTTTGGGAGCTCTGTGTCAATAATTGTGAAAGTATCAATAATCAGGAGAGCCTTAGGAATGCTGAGCAGAATCTGTTTGCTTACTTGTATATCAGAGGACTTGTAGAAATTGCTAAACATTACCAAAACATGCCATTTCCCATCATGCATGAAACTGCCTACAGAGAAGATTCTCTTTGCCCAGCAAAGCACTGGATATGTCAAGGTCCGCCTTAAAAGTGCTTTAGAAGCCATGTGCCTAGTTTTGCAAAATAAAAAGGGAATTAAAGAAAAGAGAAGGAAAAACAAAAGAAATAGTAAAGCTACAATATGAGCTGGACACATATTTGTAAAAGAAAAAAGATTTAAAAGGGTAATTTACTAAAATACTACCTATTAGCCTTGGGCAGAGAAATAATCAGTTGTACTGAGTAACCTTCCATTGCTCAAAATACCTGACACCTGCAGTTTAAAGGAGGAGGGATGTATTTTGACTCCAAAATCACAGAATTTCAGCCCCTACTCAGCGACAGAAGTCAGCTGTGGCCAAAGAGAGCTGCCTGCCTGACGGCACCGAGGAAGCAAAGTGAGCAGGGAAAGAGAGCTTGAGGAGAAAAGGCCAGGGCTCAGGTACAATTCCCAAAGCAGTGCCCATGACCCAGCAGGCACTGCGCTGTAGAAATCTCCAGGGGGTCTCTTGATCCAGTCAAATTGACAATCAAGATTAATAAGTTATATTAATTTTCTTCTCGATAAATTGCTGATAATAATTGCTTGATAATAAATTTTTCATAATGACATCTTTATTAAGCAGCATTATTTTTACCAAGTAATGCACATACATTAAGAAGCTAGGCAGTGCCAAAAAGCTTCTAAGGCAAGGGACGCCCAGGGCTGGCACTCTTGAAACTCTCACAGAAAACCAATCTCAGGACTTTTGGTTGTTTCTTCTAGTATTTACAGCTCATTGGTCTACATAGTGTACTATAAAATCTTTAATACAGTACAAGGTTTGCATTTTTCTTGTTAAATAAGAATATGATCACGTGGTCCAAAATGCAAGGGATATAATAAGGACCCACCCCCGTCCTTCAGTTATGCAGCTCCCACACCATACGTAGATACCCACTCTTACTAATTTCTACCCCAATTACTTCCTAAAAGTAGCATCAGGCAGTTTCCGCCCTTTGTATCTGGCCTTTCCTACAGGTGGCCTGCATCACAGGGTCTTGCTGTTTCTGTTTTCCCAGACAGTGACTCACTTCGTCACGCTGAGCCTTTACCCTTCCTCCCAGGCTTCTGTTCTGACTTCGCTCCCACCCACTGGACCTGGTGTTTCTCAGCATGGAGTTTCTCCAGTGAGCTTGTTTCAGTATGCTTTCTGCTGCTATAAGAGAAGAGCTGAGGCTGGATAACTTTGAAAGGAAAAGGGGTTCTTTAGGCTCTTCATTCTCGGAGTCCAAGACCATGACAGGAGCATGCGCTCACTTTCTGGTGTGAGACTTGTGCTGCTTCATTGTATTGTGGCAGAAAGCAGAAGGGCAAGTCGGCTCACACAGAAGAGACAAACGGCCTCGCTCTGTAATACAACCTCCCTTCCGGGGAGGGCTCCGTCCTGAAGAGTAAGAACCTCCCAGGAGGAAGCCATCGCTCTCTCTTAACAACCCAGTCCTCTGTCACTACTGTCCTCCTGTGATGATGGTACTCAAGTCCACTGTGGAGAAGGGCACAGTCACCCCATCACCATTTCTCTGGTGCTCACCTGGGCACTGCCAAGCAGGCCCTGGGTACCATCCTGTCTACAAGCCCGGCTTTCTCTGCCTGTGAGGGGTGCTGGCCACACAAGGGGAGTCTTCAGGGATCGCCCCTCACTGTAGACAAGTTACACCCTCCCTCAACTCAAACCACTTCTGTGTCTGGCTGCCAGATAGCTGCCAGTTTCACCAAAAGGGAAGTTTAAGTTTCTGTTTCTTGTTCTTGTTTGGTTTGATTGTTTTGATTTAGGGTGAGTTTAAGAAGAAAGGAGATAAAAGAATTTCATTTCACTGTCTTAAAACAAAAACTGTGATTCTATTTCTATATGAACTTTATTAAGGAAAAATTTGAGTCCTTGTGGTTGGTTTTTATAAAGAAAAAGGAGGTTTAATAGTAACAAGGTTCCTGAAGCATTTGTCTTTTCTGGCTGTTTCCTACCAAGGAGATCCAGGATCTTAATGCTATGTATAAACCCAGATCAGAAATTCCTCCTTCTGCACACCTCTACCTCAACCAGCAGTGCTCAGGGGAAAAGAAATAGTTTGCTCTTTTGAAAAGAATATTTTTGGGTGGGAGACTGTGGTCTCAGGGTAGCTGATACTCATTCCCTTTGTCTTTCTGTCTCTCTGCCTCTCTCTCTCTCTCTCTCTCTCTCTCTCTCTCTCTGTCTCTCTCTCTCTGTGTCTCTCTGTGTCTGTGTCTGTCTCTGTCTCTGTGTCTCTGTCTCTCTCTGTCTCTCTCTCTTTGTCTCTCTCTCTGTCTCTCTCTAGAAACACGCACAGGAACTCTGTGACTCCAAAGACTGTTGAGGTCTGGGTAGCTGCTGGTCTCCTGTCACCAACCTCAGCTCCTTTTCTAACCACAATGCACCATATTCCCCTCTTCCCTATAATCCTTTACAACTTACTCTTTCTGCTGATTGTTGCTCCAGATTCCACATCGTGTCCCCACCACCTCCCTTTGGTGAAGGAGGTGACCTCTGTGAATAACATTCTATCTTAATCATCCCTGCGTCTCTCAGAGCCTAGTGCTGTCTCGTGACCCACGGTGATCATCCCGAGTCCATGTTGAAAGGATGAAGGACAGGACATGGCAGTGCTTGTAGCAGATCCCCAGCCAGGGGTGTTTAACCGCACTGCAGCACAAGCACCAGCTGTCACGTGTCATCCCAGGGTCTCATCAAGGCCTGCCTCCCAACTTTTTCTTTCTTCTCTTACAACTTATTTAACGGCTCTACTTTCTGCACTCGTTGCACAAGAAAACAAACCTCAGATTATTTTTTTCTGACTCCACTGATCAAATCAAGTTCTCCAGGCAGGATAGAGCATACCTAGCTTTCATTCGAATTTCTGAGAGTTTTCTCGAGAATTTAAACAAAATCTAAAACATCTGCAGTGAGGCAGGGAGACCCTGGAAAGCTCTGTCTTCTGTGGGCATATTCTGACATTTTACACCACTGTGGGCTCTCCAGAAAGAAAGTGAAAAACATTCCCAACCGGGTTGACAGGTCCAGTTGCTACTGTGTTACCCCACTAGGGCCCAGGACTTCACTCAAGGCCCATGCAGGGGTAAAAACAGTGCTTCTGAAATTTATTCAGGTGAGTCTGATTACAAGAATCAGAGCAGGGCCGAGGATATAGCTCAGTGGCGAAAGTGCCTGCCTGGCAAGCGCAAAGTCATGAGTTCCATCCCTGATACAAAAAACAAAACAAACAAAAAGAATCATCAATACTAAAGCCACATCATTTTATGGAAACCAAAACTTCCAATATAGAAAGGACTGCAAACCTGCTTTCTAACTGCAGGCAATAAAGATCAAACAAAATCTGCCATGTAGAGGATTTCTATTACACAAATATTTGTAAATGGTGCTCCAGAAGTAAACTTGAGGAAAATGAATTCACCAGGTGAACGGCTCTCAAGGAACAAGGAATGATTACAAAGTTTATGTGAATCTTCCCCTTTAACAACTAGAGGTCCTGCGATACAGTGTCTTCCCTGGGACGTCACGTGGTCTGTGCAAGTCTGTCTTAATCTCTTCTTCTATGACACAAAACATACTGAATTAGGGCCCCACCCCCATGACCACATTTTAACTTAATTATATTTTTTAAGGCTTTATTTCCAAATATAGTCACCCTGAGGGACTGGAGGTCAGCACTTCAACCTGTGAATTTGGGGAGCACATATTTTAACCCATATCGGACCCCTGAGAAAGCTCTCTCCACCATAGCTGCGGGGTGTGAGTAGCACAGTGGTTCCCCTCTGGTCAGGTTCCCAAATGGCATGGTTTTATTGTTTGTTTGCTTATTGTTTGCTTTGGTTTTTCTGGCCTTAGGGAGAACCAATGCGGACGTAATGACCGCTCTGTCCCAGGGCTACCGGATGCCCCGCATGGAGAACTGCCCAGAGGAGCTCTATGACATCATGAAAATGTGCTGGAAGGAAAAGGCAGAGGAGAGGCCGACGTTTGATTACCTACAGAGCGTCCTGGACGACTTCTACACGGCCACGGAGGGGCAGTACCAGCAGCAGCCCTAGCACCGGCGGACTCTCCATCCTCCGGAGACGCTTGCCTGGCTAGCGGAGAAGAGTGGCCGTCCCTGGAGCTCCAGTTACCTCATGTGCTAACCCAGCACCTCCGGCTCCCCAAAGTAGAGGCTCCATTTCTCAGGAAGAGCAACCTGGCCCCAGGAAAGTCCTCCGTTCTCCTAGACTTACGGCCACTGGAATGAGCCTGGATTGCACCTCATCTGATCATCTGGCTTTGTGCGACCAACATCGAATGCAACCTCTACAGAGGAAAACATTCTCTCCAGCTGTGCTCCCGGCCTGGCCCAGTGTTCACACCCGGAAGTTTGACCCAAAGACCCAGAGTCTGTTGCATCAAATCTATGATAATGGAATTTAACTCATTTATAAAGCAAAAAAAAAAAAAAAAAAAAAAAAAAGATAACCAGATACGTAGCATGACACTGCATTTTCTCTATGCTTTGACTTACTTTGAAAGATTACTAACCCAACCTGTTCGATTTTACAGGTGAGATCAGCGTCTTAAAATTGCCTCTCCCAGATTCCAGTGTTTCTGTTTTAGGGGTGCTGTTTCCCACCTCTCACAATCTAAGACCCTCAACACGCTCTGATTAGTTTCACTGCTCAGGCGACAGCCAGACTGACACATGTGGCCCTGTGGGAGCATGGCTTGTGGCACAGGAAGGGGAGCCTGACCCCTGAGGGTGCGGCCCTCACCTCCCAGGGACTGAAGAGCCAGGAACCCCTCGGCCTCAGTGGAGTATTTTTAACTGCCTAACCTTTGTAATTCCGAGATTATTCACTTTGTTTTTTGACAGTGTCATGTGGAAGAACAAGAAGATTCTAATCTCTGCAGAGCCTTTCAGGCCTTTTTCTAAAACAAGCATTTTCTTTTCGCTTCCAGTGGTTTGAACATTATTTTAAGAATCAGATATTAATTTTAGCTACACTCTAGAGTAAAAATGCCATATTTTGGGCTATTTTTGTGATTCAACAATCTTTTCTAAATTGTATGAGATCTGTGTGAGACTATTTATACCCAAGGATATGAAGAAAATAAAGTCAGGCAGCTCCTTGAGCTGCTGTGATGAGAGCTGAGAGGTTTCGCTGGCTGGGTTTTTGTACTGTAAAGTTTGAGTGGAAACTGCTGTGTCGGTCATTTCGTGCTTGCTGTGGTGTATATGCCTAATAACTTTATTTTTTATTTTATTTTAATATATGTGGCCCAATAACGACCCCAGCTTTTCTTCTTGTGTTTAACATTTCCAGCTATCAGCAATGTGGAAAAAGTACCAGCTGGCAGGAAGGGATGAGAAGCAATTCCATTTAGCTAAATGGCATCAACCTGTGAGGTTCTTCCTCCAGCCTTTGAGTGATTCAGGCTGGAGAGCCAAGGAAGTAACAGCTTGGATTCCTGAAGGTTGCTCGGTGGGGGCCAGATAGGCATTTTTGCTTTTGAGGCAATGTCTTGCTATGTAGCCTTGAACTCACTATGTAGCTCAGGCTGATCTTGAACTCACGGTGATTCTCCTGCCTTGGCCTCCCAAGTGCTGGGATTACGGTGTGCACTATCATGCCCAGCTAGATAGGATTTATTTTTGAAGAAAGATTTTGTAGGCACAAAATTTTATTTTTTATGTTTTGTTTAGGTTTCAGTTGCCTAAGAAAAGGGATCACATAATCCACTTTCCCTAAATTTTTTTTTTTGTCTTTTTCATTTTTATTTGTACCAGGGATCGAACTCACAACCGCACACTTGCAAGGTAGGTGCTCATGCCGCTGAGCTAAATCTCCAGCCCTTCACTTTCCCTAAATTTAATCTCTCATTTTCCCGTGGGTTTTTTTTTTTTTTTTTTTTTTTTTTTTTTTTTTTGTCTTTTTGAGACAAGGTCTTGCTCTGCAGTTCAGGCTGGCCTTGAGCTCACTTTGTAGCCCAAGCTGGTCTGGAACTGGCAACGATCCTTCTGCCTCAGCCTCCTGAGTGCTGGGATTACAGGCGTGAGCCATCAAGCCTGGCTCCTGTGCGATTTTTTAAATATCTTTTCTGAAGTATTGTGAAATTCTCAGTTCACCATTACCATAGTCACAAACATAGAATATAATCATCATATAACATCTGCATATCTGGATACTTAATTCACAGTGGTAAATTGCCTGCCCACACCTCCCCGTTCACATTTCATTTGAGAGCCCCACATGTTACATGGAGAGGAAGCATAGAGATTCCTTGGGACAAAAAGAATTCTGCAGGAAACTAACATGTTTTTGCTTCTCTCTTTCCTCTGTTTGCTTGTCTCAGTTCGGCTTCCTTATTCCATATTCCAGTTGACTTTTCCCCCCCGTCGGGTCCTGTCCTCCACTGCTCTCCTCCTCAGCAGCAGAAGAGTGTGCTGCCCAAGCCCTGCTCTAGAAGCAGTGCTGAGCAGGAGAGCAGACAGCGCTGTCCTGAGCGCGAACCAAATGATAATAGGAGGATCCGCCCTTTACCCAGTGGGGGGAGGAAGAGCACTGAAGCAATTATAAACTTATTCCCAGTCCCGCTGGTGGTGGCCGCTTTCACTGTACCCTTCCCTTACTTTCCTCTACGACATCCAGGTGCTGGAGCTGCTATAAAATTCTCAGTGCTGCAACACCAGCTTTTGTTCAACTGAATAAACGGAATGCTTGCCCTGTGGCTCGGCTCCCCAGCTCTTTTCATTTTAACTGCCAGGTTCCCCAGCCAGTTCATGAATGTGCCCTGCCTTGTCAACTAAAAGCACTTCTCAGGTGAGACACAGCTCCTACCCGCCCTGTTAGTGTCTTCCTGCATTTTTTCTTTCTGCCTGCTAAAAGGCAGTCTCTACCTTTTTACTGAAGTTTTCGGATGAAGTAAAAGTGAGCCTTGCTATTTGTGCTGATGGAAATGACGATTATAAACAATGAAGATGTCTTTACACCCACCATTTGCTAAGGGTCCTCTTTTGTGGTTTGGCACTTTATGAAAATTAGTCCTGATTCACACAACGACCCTGCCATCATATCTGGAAAATGCTATCAGTATTTCGTCGCTGAAAGAGGAGGTGTATTTAAAGCCACAGAAAGAATAGATTGTCTCTGATTCCTGTTGTTTCTTTGGGACAGAAAACTAATGAAATACATTTGTGGTAGCTGGGTGCTCTGTCTGGGAAAGGGTAATATTTACAAAACACCTCTATCAGAGTTCATGAGACATGACAAGAAATCTCCATACATAATTTTTTTTGGATTTGAAGACACAAAGTTGTATGAACTAAGTTACCACTCACACTTTTCAAGAAAATTTGTAGGGACTGCACTTTTAAATAAAAATTTCAAGAACACTTTTGCTCTATTTCATTAAGATGTATTAAAATGGATCCATATTTATATCAAAAAGTTCTAACTTGATGCTTGTATAGGAAGCCTTCCAATTTAATTTCCTGCATTCTTGTGAATCTGTTAAATACTTCAGGTAAGAGTGCAAACAATGTCAGAAGGATGCCACAATGTCCACACTATGATCTTAAGTGACCTTAAATATTTACCTGAAAATGTGGAATTGATAAGGATAATCACTGTGACTTTAACTGTAGGTCATTGGAGAGACATTAGAAACCATCTGAATTGGCTAATGTGCAGTCTTAACTGCTAACATCAAAAGTGGCCCCACCTACAGTAGCACCAAAAGTAAATGTCATGTCACAAACCAAGAAAACTATCTGTAGATTTTTAAAATTAGCCTAACACTGAGTATGGATGATAACTCCTTAATTCCTTATCTACTTCATAAGAGTTGCTATGCTTTAAATTTCAATTTTTAAAAATCAATGGAATGAATATGTTGAATATTGAGTAATAAAATCCCAGTGAGCACAAAGAAGTAACTTAGTCAAGTAAAACATTTCTGCAGAAAGATACCCAAATATTCCTATATAAGTGAGATAAATATAGTCTCTTGTTAGGTTCAGATCAGTTTTTGCACCGAGTAAGTTCTTTAAAAGTCTTTGTTTTTTCTAGTCTTTTGGATTTCAGATTGTGGAAAGGGCACATAGCTCTGTGTCCTCATCTTGAAGAATATATAAGAACTTTCAGTCTCAGTGTCGTATTGGATTCAAACGCAGCACATCCAGGTGATGTTTGTTCAAAAGATACTAGCCAATGTGCAAAATGCAAAAAGAAAAGATACAAAATATTTACACTTCTCTTTGAAACAATAGTCAATTATTAATATGATCTCTGCAAATACTCTATCAGGAGGATCTGGTGAACAACAAGTTAAGTATCGGGAAGGCTGGAAGTTTTAGTCACCCACAAATTACCTCTGGGACTCAAGAGAATTAAGCAGTGCAGTCCTGGGTCTCCTCAGAGTTTGAAAAGCTCACACAGAAAATGAGACCCTCATCACATGGACATTAGTCTACACAGGAGTGTAGCACAGTTTGGAACAACTGATGGTGCACCAATACGCCAATGTCTACGCAGGAGAAAGCAGAGCAGGGGAACAGGGACGCCTCAAAGGATGAGGCACCCACACTGGGGTGAGCTCACAGCCTCAGAATTACCCAAAGGCTCATTAGAAGAGACCCCTGGGCTCACCCTACAACAAGGGACCCTGAAGAAGCGGCCAACACTGCTGGTCCCAAACCACCCTGTGAGACTCAGGAGATGACAAGGTGCTTCCGGGCAGGGAAGCCAGATGGGGCCGAATGAGGCAACATCTCGGGGAAACGCAGGCTCCCAAATGAGAAGCGGACCTTTACGCAGTGCAGGGGAGCACGGCATAGGAGTGCACATGGGCTCAGAGCCCCGGGACCTGGCTACTGGGCTTGTGCGCCCATTGCTTGTACTCTGCTAGCAGGTGGGGATGATAATTGTGCTTATCTCATGGGATTCTTGTGAGGCATAGATGCAAGAATATTTTATTATAAACCAGGTACAAAATTAAGTCAATATACTTGGGAAATGAAAATGCTTGTTCAATCAAGATATTAGATGTGATGTCAAAGAAACATATTATGAAGTCAGCAAATGGTATGAGGGACAGATGGACAGGAAAACCAACCACTGAGCAAGTCCTCATGGAGGGAAAACAAGAACCCAACTGCACTTGGGCCTGCTATAATAGCAGACTCTCTCAAACACACAGAGGTGGAGTTACTCTAGATTTAGGGTAAACCAGCCCGGACAACACAGCGAGACCCTGTGTCAAAAAAAAAAAAAAAAAAAGAAAAAAAATTTAATTAAAAAACAATAGATTCAGGCTAAGGGCTGAAATCTGCTTGTTTTTATATCATCACTCCCTCCTATGCAGTGATACCTCAGTTCACAAATGTTTCTGTCCATGAGTAATTCAGTTGGGAAGCAGAATCATTTGGCAAAATTTTGCTTCCCACTGTTGAACTCCACATCAGGTTACAAACTCAACTACCACCATCTTCCCTGCACCTTGCTTGAGCATGAATGTTGTCATTTTCCCCAGAATCATGGAATGAAATAAGTTTGGGGACTGAGATGCCATTGTAATTTTGACCTAACTATTCAAGTCATTGCTTTGAAAAAATTCAGATAAGGAATTGAATTTTGGAGTTGACTGGCATCATGGATTGAGTTGTATACTCCCAAAATGATATTCTTACATCCTAACCTTCAGGACCTCAAAATGTGACCTTACTTGGAAATAGGCTTGTTGGTTTGGTAATCAGCTATGTGGGGTCATCGCATAGCAGAGTAGGCCCCCAACCCAGTATGCCAATGTCTATAAGAAGATCGCCAACACACAGAGACACACACAAGGAAGGAAGATACGTGAAGACACCTGGGGAGAAGACAGCCACCCACAAGCCAATGAAAGGGACCTGGTATCCAACACCTGACACCTTGATCTAAAACTTCTGGCTTCTGGAACTGTGAGACAATGAATTTCTGCTATTTAAGCCAACCAGTGTGTGGTACTGTGTTTTAGCACTCTTAGCAAATTAGTGTAGCACCCTAGTGACATTATAGGAGTGGTCAATAAAGAAACCTGGGAGAATCTGCCTTCAGGAAGAGGGAAGCTGGATACTATGGTTTAGAAGCAACCTGTAAAAGCGTCTGTGTTAAAG